GTATATCCACAATGAGAACAAATAACCTTTTGTGGTTTAACATACGGTGCATTGACAGAAGGTTGAACTGATTCAGGAGCAAAAACATGAAATGCCACTGCATTAGAAGGAGTAGGTGTGAAGCTTCTTTGACTGTGATCCTGATCCAACAAATTGTAAATTTCTGCCAAGGAAGGAACATGCTTCTTCATTATGATTTGGCTTCTAATTACGGCATAAGATTCATTCAAGCCAGCCAAAAACTTAATAACATGAGCATGATCTCCTCTTTTGTCCATAGCTTTACAACAGTCACATCTTCTGCATAATTTCACACAATCAGAAGCATCCAATTCATTCCAAAGAGTTCTCAAAGTAGTATAATAAGTTGCAAGATCCATAGTACCCTGTTGAAGTGACCAAATCTGTTGAGACAACTTATAAGATCGCGGGAGATTAGTAATGTGATAACGAGTCAATAAATCATTCCATATCTCCGAGGCATCGTTGAAACGAATAATACTCTTGTAAATTTGCTTCGACACTGAGTTCAATAACCAAGATTTCACCATGCTGTTACAACGAGACCAAATCCTGAACATAGAATCCGATTCAAGAGGTCTCGGAACAGATCCATCAACGAAAGCTAGCTTGTTTTTCGCGTCTAAAGCTATCTTAATCGCAATTTGCCAATCATCATAATTCGTACCATCAAACACTTCAGAGACTATAGAAATACCAGGATTATCGCCATTGGGTAAGTAATACGGAGAATGTATGCTATCATGCGATACAGTCACCGGAGTTGAATTGTGATTCCGATTAACAGGAGAACCTTTGGAAGAAGAAGAACCATCGCGATTAACCGATCTATGAGCTGAAACAGGAACGCGGACCGTGCGACGAGTGATTTTGCGAGCTGGCGCCATCGGAAAAACAAGATTTCACGACGGAGATGAAGAACAAAGTGATCGATACAACAATTTCGGCGAACAAAACGCAGAAATTGATCGAAATCAACAAGAAGAAAGTTTGTTACAAAGATGAAGAAGAAAACGTTATTCTCATTTATGATTCTGTATCGTTTACATGTTTGACTTATAGTGTAAAACGGATCATCCGGTTTACTCCGGTTTACAATAACAGAAAATCAATCTGACTAAGCCATATCAAACCATACTCTAATAATATGTTTATAGAATTTTAGTTAAGCTTACAAAAATAAAATAAAAATATTATAAATGATAATCTCGACCGGCAATGCACGAATCCACATCTAGTTGAATATAAAGATCGAAAAGTTAAACTTTTCCCTGGACGGTACCAAAGACGTACGAAACTTATAGGTTTGACTTTTTATACTGATCGGTTAGGTTTTTTTAAAGTTTCCTTTTTCTAAGTTTTAGGGCTGCGACACATTGGTATATAAAGACTTTAGGTATTCTAACTGTTTTGTGCGATTTTTTTAGTTTGTAAGGTTGTTCTTCTTTTAGCAGGTTTTTTAATAGATTCTTAAAGTCCTTTGTAAATCTCCATTCAAACTCTATGATCTTTTTTTCTACTCTGATGGTGTGTACTACTACTTGGGTCATATGTGATTATGATATATAATTCATTTATCATCAATTCGTTATTCTATTGTTGTCACATATATAATAATTTAAATAGAAATACGTTATAATGCTTGTATAGGATATAAATTTATTCAACAAAAGATTTAAAATATCTAAGACAGGTGGCTAAACAATGTCGCTACGAATTGATACTATTTGAATTTAAAAAGAACTCTTGTCTTTATAAAGAACTCTTGTCTTTATATTATGTATTATATACTAGGATCGGACCCGCAGTCCACCATAGGAGAATATTGGTTTACATACGTTGATTTTAATATTATGCTGTTTTAAGTAGAGCGAATCATGTAGTGTACTTATAAATATTCATAATAACGAGTTGTAGAGAAAATGTTAAATTGTTTATAATTAAACCGTTCATAGTAATTATGATTACAAAATGGAATTTTATGTTTTAGAATTCTAAAATTAGACGAGTCATAGGAGTTAGAGCAGTCAAAATAGGTCAAAAACCGTGGGTCGTGCCCAAATCATCTCACTATGGGGTAGATTTGTGAAAATATATTAAACCCGTAAATAAACGGATCACATGGATTGATTCGCAGTGGATCATAGGTTTTAATCGGTTTTCGTCCGCGGGTTAGCAGATCAGCCAGCATGTTAGTATTTATTGATAAAAATATAATTTATTCAACATTTGGTAATTTAAAAAACTTTTAATAAATGAAATTATAATATTTATAAATATAATGAGATATAAAATTATTTTCTCTAAATTTTCTTTATTTATTTATTTTAGTAGTATTTTAAATTTTCGTTACTTTAAAATTAATCAAAATAAATCCACGGAAAACCCCGCAAATCAGCATACATTTGTGGGACGGGTTTGTGTTTCATATATGCTATATACGGGTCGTGTGAAACGACTAACTATATGTCAAAATATATTTTGCCTATCACAATACGGGCTTAACGGGACGAATCAACTCGCTTTGACAGCTCTAATGGAAATATTATTTAGTCATACAACAAAATAGACTTTGGACATAAGAATAATAGAATCTATATCTTATTTGTTAGATGAGAGATTGAAACTTTGAAAGGTGAAATATAATGATTAAAAATTAATTATTATTTTTATGATTCGCAAAATTTAATAAATATTTATCATCTTGTTGAATAATTCTAAAAATCATATTCAAGACATCTTTATAATTTTAAAATTAAACTTCTTTGGTAAGCTATAAGTATGAAAATACCATAATTTCGATTTAATCTAATTAAATTAAAATTAGTTACATGGATTTCATATCAATTTAATTTACACGACCAAAATAAAAATATCTACTTAATTTATAAATTAGATGGGTTAGTTGTGATAAATTTTCTAGAAATCTTTTGAAGCAAGCAAGAAATCTTTCTATTAATGATAATTGGCTAAAATAAGCAAAATTAATGACAAAAACGTTGATTGTTATGGAATTAGTTTCAAAAATATATGAACAAATATATTATACGTAATTAATGTATAATATTGTTCGGAATATGCTTTTATAATTAGTTACCATAAATACAATCAGATTTTAATTGATTTCGATAAATATTTTATTTTAGTTTGATTTTTCATTATTAAATATTAATTAGAAATCATATTCCAAAAAAAAATTCAAAGATCCGATTTCACAATTTTGGGTCAATTTTCTGATTTGGACCCGACCCATTTGCACTTGTACTTCCCTTTTAATAGTATAGAGATAAACAAATATATTATACGTAATTAATGTATAGTATTGTTCGGAATATGCTTTTATAATTAGTTACCATAAATACAATCAGATTTTAATTGATTTTGATAAATATTTTATTTTAGTTCGATTTTTTATTATAGTTAGAAATCATATTCCAAAAAAAAATTCAAAGATCCGATTTCAGAATTTTGGGTCAATTTTTTGATTTTGACCCGATCCATTTGCATTTGTATTTCCCTTTAATAGTATAGAGATTTGAATCACACGTGGATACGTTAGAAAGAAGTATTCATAAACACTCCATAATTGTAAATTTGTAATAACTTAATGTAACGTAATTAAGTTATTAGCATTTCTTCAAAACCACATGGTTCGCCCGTTATTAGTGTATTGACCAGGAACAGGACCTATCACAAGAATATTTTTTTTATTCTTAATTGATTCAATTATGGAATCATGAATAGTCATAGGCTATGCCATTGTAAGGTGGTGCTAAATGGAAAGATCTTATCAACGTCCAAGTATTAGCATTTCTTCAAAACCACATGGTTCGCCCATCATTAGTGTATTTAAAGAGACTTTTGATTCATTTTTATGGTTGAGGAAGATGATTTCTATGGTTGCCCATTTTCTATTCCAGAATCAATATTTTAGCTAGATGGGTCCACGGAAGATGGATCAAGAAAACTGGATGGATTTGTTAGAAGTTATCTCATCATGAATAGCAAATTGACCAAAAAAAAATATATCAAAGTATGCAGAGTACGGAATTCATGGGCTTCACCTATCAGTCTATCACTATGGCCAGCATCGCCGATAAAAAGGCCAGGTTTCATGAAAGTTGTCGGTAAGAAGCCAAGTAGTATTGTCATTGATGTTCTCAATAAATAGAGTTCTCGGACAACTTCCAAAGCGAGGCCAGAAATTAGTCGTCGACGATTACGCAGTTAAGATGGCGAGATTACCGGAACTAGTTTAGACGAGGTCGATCTCCTAAGCTACAAAAATCGAGTTGTGATGATCTTGTGAACAAATCAAATCCTAATTGATTTTTTATTTTATTTTTAAATTACTAAGAGATTATGGGCTTAGTCCCGTATATCATAATTGATTTGCATGTCTTGATTGTCAAATTACCTGCGAGAGTTGAGTAATTGAATTCTCTAGACATTGATAATTGATGCTGCGGGAGTAGATCTTAATACACAGTTACGATTTGAGTTCTAAGACATATAATAAATCAATTACGTATTTCTGAACTCCTTGTATGAAACAATTTATGAACTTCTGCATATTTCTCTGCGTTTATTTGCTTTATCCTCCTTTTCTTGCTTAGTTATTTGAGTTCTACATTTATTTATTTTTGACGGATTTGTATTATAGGTTTCAATCTCTGTGGGATTCAAATATTCAATCAGAACCATGAATCGAATCGAGCCAAATTGATTAGAAAGTAAGAAATAGGGAAACTATTGAATACCTTCAAATTGTTTAAGCGATATTGGTAATTAGAAAGGCAAGTTGCCAAACACAAATGTTAAATAACTTAAATAGAGTGCAACCAATCAAGGTCAAACATACATCAAGTAGCATGAAAATTGAAATGATTGTTCTCTTTATTGAAATCACAACAAAATGCAAAAGCAAAATAATGATTAAATCAAAGCATAGTTCAATCATGGATATTCATGACCGAAATTTAAGATATTGGTCACTGGTTTAGATCAAAACTGGAGGATTAAGGACCGCATAAGTAAGCAAGTCTTGGTCACGAACGAACATGAGCATGTCTTGTTCGGGTAAGCCTACCCAAGCTTCTACATCTTCACCATCCTTTGAATCCATTAACAACGCATACACCGTGTTGTCATAGATGGTATGCAAAGCGGATCCTACCCATACCGGAGTACCCCATCCAAAGTCAACCTTGTAGAAATGTTTTTTGCACCAGCTAGACATTGCGTATAAGTCTACGTCTGGTTTTACCTCTGATAAGTAATTTCCCATAACACTGATCAACAAGTTCTGACCAAATGTGGTATTGGTGATGGCACAAGGCGATTGTAAGTTACCAATTGCATCTCGGGAATCCTAAGCCGTAAGTCCAAGGCTTGACTCATCAGCGTTGACTTTGCAGCGACCGATGAGTTAGAGCGCGCGTGAGGCATTTGTGGCACATATCCAGATAAGTGATGTGATGGCTTCCACACGTGTAGGTACCGGAACGCTCTTGCTAGCGGCCTTCCGTTTGAGATCAGCAATCTTAGAGGATTTGAAGACGAATCTATTGGTAACACACTTGCCTTTAAGCCCGAAAAGATCATCCGATGAAGTAGCCTGGAGAGAGTTTTGGGGAGGAGGGTAAATGGTAGCTCCTATAAAATGAGGAGTAGTTACCGCCATGTCACCATTCCCTGTAGCCCAGCTTTGGATAAAGGTCAACAACGATGCTGCGTCGCAGATTTGGTGAGATGTAGCAACAGTGACCGCAACCCCTGATCCGGATCCAAAGAAACATACCTTAACACTCAACAATGGCCATGTCCCAGCAGATTCTCCTGGTTCAATTTTGGGGAAAAATTCTCCTAGATTGTTGGTATCATCGAGGTTGTTTTTAAGGAAATCGGAGAGAAGGAGATCAGTACGTGCTTCGGTGAACACGGCTCCTTCGTCGTTGCAGTTGATGGAGAAGCCTTCAATTCTTCCCGCTAGAGGATAGAAACGTGACAGAGTCTCCGACAAAGAGCTTTTAAGCTTCCCGGAGATGATCGCCGGCGACTCTCCACCGGCATCGGTTTGGTAGAAGAAGATTGCTGAAACGTAAATTTGAGGAAAAAAGACGTCTATTAAAGACACTTGAAGGCGATCATGATGTGCGGATGAAGAAGGTTTGATAATTTCTCTCCCTACAACCTCTAGCTTTGCTTCCATTTTCAACGGTAAGAACTATCAAGCGTCACGATTCATAAGTATTTATATAGTGGTTGTTTTCATTTTTGGGATTTTAAATATCCACTAAAATCTATTAATTAAGACCTTATTTCATAATTAAATGATAATATTTAATATTAAGGTATGAGGAGAGAATATGAAAGAGCAAGAACGATTGTATTGAGGAAGTATAAGAGCCTAAAATATTAATGATTAGCTAAGGGGTAATAACGAGAAATTTCTCATGGTTACACTGCGTAATTGTTATCGTTCTAAAACCCTTAGAAAACATTATTCTAATAAAATAGTGAAAATAGCAAATATAAACACTTTGAAGATTTGGGATCAATGATATTTGGAGAGTACATAATATAAGTAACTTTGATTTTTGTAAATTATTACATTAGAATACCATTGGAGATAAAAAAATTTAAATAGTGAATTAATTAATCTCATTTAGAATAAACAAGTCAAATACTAATTTATGTTATTTAATTAAATTACAAAAACGAAAATACATTATTAGTTTTAAAAGCAAAAAATGACCAATCAAAATAGACATATAAGATTTGATATCTAACTTACCATATTAATTTGTTATTAATCATTATACTTTTCCGCTCATCTTTATATGATTCTATTTTTGTGAAACAAATAATTCATCATATCATCCCCATACTAATAAAACATATAGATTTTTTTTGCATACGCCTAGGCATGACCAAAAGCTAACGTAACCGTATTTCGGACTGTAACCAGACCCTTTTTTAACTGTAACCGGACTGTAGCCGTATAAAATGGTTAAAAACCGTAACCGTTAACCGTAAAGATAGATTAGTTATGGTTAAAAAATATACTAACTGTAACCGTTAATTAATCGTAAACGTATCAAAACCGTTACTTAACCGCACGGTTAACCGCACTATTAACCGCATAGATAAAACTTAAAAAAATATAATTATAATTACGTGTAATGTAAAAACAAATATCAAATGTTTAGATAAAGATTTTTTTTATAAATAAAACCGCATATAAAAACAGTAGAAAAATGGTATTTTCTCAAATATATATGTTGTAATGCTATGTTGCATGAAATGAAGAAAATTTAGTTTATACCATATTTTTTCATCTTACTAAAAGTAGTATTAAAAGTCTGTAACTCGTAAGATTTCTTCTCCAATATTAACCGTATCATCATTATAAAATAACTGTAACTGTATTTAGCTGTAACCATTATAACCATAACCTTATGTAACCATAACCGTTTTAACCGTATAGATAGTGGTTAAAGTTACAGTTAAAGAAAATTTATAACCGTAACCAGTGGCTAATTAACTTTAACCGTAATAACCGTAACCGTGGTCATGCCTACATATGCCATGATTTAATTTGAATTATAAAAAATGAATAAAATTGTTCAATCTATGAAGAAAAAAATATTATGGGTAAAAAATTCATACTTGAGTATTATATCTTTTTTAAACAAAAAATATTACGGGTCAAAAATTCATACTTGAGTATTATACTTGAGTAACCTGTCAGAATTTCAATATTTATTCCATTGTCAAACATTTTTTTTTTTGAAATATATAATTTTATATACTACAATAAACATTTTAAATATTATAATTTGGAATATTTAGAAATAGTTTTACTTGATATTTTTAAAGAATATCATCAATACTTAATAGATCAAAAAGTTAAAAGTTATAAATGATCTAATTTGATTTTTCTAAAAAAAATATATTTAAAATATTTATATTTATAATATTTACGATCATTATAACTATTTGAATATTTATATTTAATTTTATAAAATTATTTTTTTGAAATGCATAGTTTTATATACTACAATTAAAAAATTTATTTGGATTATTTAAAATATTTTAATTTAATATTTTATTTTAATATTTTAAAGAATATCATTAATATTTCATAAATTAAAATGATAAAAATTATAAATACTCTAATTTGATTTTTAAACTGATATATTTAAAATATTTATAGCAGGCGTTGGTTCAATATAATGTATTATATGATAGAAAGAATTATGATTCTTGTAAGAGATAACATGTTAAGATTATATGATGAGATGGGATAAATAAGGTTTGACACGTCTAAATATTTGAAATTTTGATTATGCAAGCAATTTTGAAAATAACGAATGATAGATTGTGTACGCAATTTATTCATTTGGATTCTAAAATGAAAATATAAACTCCACGCACGGGTTGAATTTAGTGTTATTATATACCAAAAATATGTTCATAACATATTCGATTATACGAATAATTGCTAAATTCAAAATAAAAGCTAACTTCCTTAGTTGATTCAAAATAATGTATGTTTTATATGCGAGTCATTTATGATATTTTGATTTTTGATCTAATTGAATTATATGCAATCTCATTGTGTGGTTGTTAACATAAATTAACACATTGTTCAAACAATCTTAATTTTAAAAAAATAATATTATTTTCCTTTTCATATCTTAAAAAACATTATCCATAATTGAGTATTATATAAAACATAATATATATTCATTCTAATATTATATATATGGACTGACAAAAAAATTAATAACCAACGTCTATTGTCATTTTGTATCAAAAGCATATTGTATTCTTCACAAAAGCAATGTATATGTCTAAATGGTATGATTTTGCATGAAAAGAGAACACTAGGATCAAAATTAACACACCCATGCACAAAACTATTTTTCTTAATGTTCAATGGTGGATCACACCCATCATTTTGGTGTCGCATGAGGAAACCATACTCCTTTGTGCCAAGCCACAATATTAGACGTAGTTCGAATGTGGTTCCAAGTGTCTTTAGTGACGAAATTACCTTTGAAAATATCGTTTTTACCTCTCCACAATGCTTTATCGTTGTGCACTGTTCTGTTTTACCATTGGGAATGTAGTACCTCTTCTATCGAGTTCAAAAAAATGTTTCAATGTTTTTTCTACGACGTGTTGTCCAAGCTTCCGCGACTTATTCCCATGTCTATTACACCTCTTTCTCCCACAATGTCAACTAGTCTTCCCAGTGGGAACCATGAATCATACCAGAAGGAGGTTAGCTCTCCATTCTCCACCTCAACCTTGCAGAAATTTTTGGCTGACTTTCCGATACTTGATTATTTTTTCCCAAATCCATGACCCAATGCTTGCAGATTCTTTGACTGTCCAGAATGACTCTCATTTAAGCAAAAACATGTCAATCCACTTTTTCCATAGTGAGCTTCTATGTGAAATAATTCTCCATACCAACTTTAAACAACACACGTCAACTGCCTCTTTTAAACTTCGAAGGCCTAGACCCCCCTCTGTTTTTGGCTTGCAGACTTGGTCCCATGATAGTTTAGCTTTTTTCGAATTCATTTCTGATCTGACCAAAGAAATATTGCACACAGTTTGTCGATATATATAATAAATTGTTTACGATTCTTCTTTTTTTTTTAAATATATAATCAAGTAATGTGTTTTTCTCAGGTCCACGTGACAGTATCACATGTGCACATGTGTCACTCTCATGGAAAGAGTTGACCTCTTTTCATTTATATGATTCAATTTTAATCTAGTTTTGAAATTAGAAAAACTAACTAATTATAATAATCAATGCATTATATATATATATAATATCTTTATATTCAATACAGAATGTGTTATTTCGTAATTATACAATACCATAAGGATTCAATAGAATAATTTTCTTATTTTTGTTTTTAATTATTAAAAAATGACTTTTTTTTGCTGGTCAACGCGAGTCAACGCTGTTCAATGCCGGATTCTGACGAACGGTGTATCGGAATAAGGTGGTCGTGATGCTAACCACATGTCGTTATATAGTTGGTATATGTTGTCATGCGATAAAGAAAACTCATAGAAGAGTAAAGGAAACTACACAGAAACTACTACAGCCTTTACCTCTACAATGTTATTGGAGAGCTACACATGGATAATAGATAACTCGGCAATATTGATCCGAGAATAAGTTAATCATAGGTGGCAATGTCTTTGCTCTACATTCCTGAATAAAATAAACATTTAAAAAACATTTTATAATCGGAATAAGGAAGTACACCAAATCATTAGATGGATTTATAACATTGAATTTATAGATTGATAAGTTTGTAGTAAACATAACTTTGAAATCTTACAATAAGCAGATTAACTACATGTTATAGTGCAAAAGGTTTTAATAATATGCAATCCATATACATCATAAGATACATAGCATGCTTCTAAAGACAAACCAATTGTTACATGAGCAAAACCAATTATACCACCCTATAACTAAAAAGAATTGAGCAAATGTGGTGGGTTTACTAAGGGGGATCGAAAACCCTCGTAAATGCTAAACAAAAGATAAAATTGCAAACCTTGCCATAATTTATATGACGGGATTTGGTATATTCCTTGATCAAAATCTTAATAACTATCGAGATCAGCCGAAGAAGTTAGATTATTCACAATTATTTAAACCTACAAAGAAAAAGACCAAAATATTTATAAATCACTATCTCAGATTATGAGAGATAACACAGCGTTGTAAACTCAAATTTTCAAAGCATAAATCATCTGATTCGGCTTTGAGGATATATATATCACGATTACCCTTTGAAGAACATTACTCTGCCGCGACTTGGTACCCGCTCTTGCAGGACAAGTACTGGATCATCGCTTTCTAATTTCTTCCTTTATATACGATTTGCGAATAAATGATAACCGAGTTTTACGAAAGTTACATAACAAAGTACTTCTAAAACTAAGATTTTCGGAAAATGGTAAAGCATATTCTAAATTACCGAGTATTTTTCATGTCCCATCGCTTCGTGTATGTGATATAGGTTCATCGTTCTAGACACAACTGGCTGGATATCAGATTCGGAAACCTTAAGCTATAAACGAAACCGATAAAGCATCACACTCGACTACCATTCCATTAGAAGCCTTTGAAAACCAATTATTGGAAATTTATAAAAGTTTGCTTCCGATATTAATCGTATCGTAATCATCAAATAACCAGAACCATATTTAATCTTGACTGTTGTAACTGTAGCCGTTTTAACCGTAACCGTTTTAACCGTATATATAGTGGTTAAGGTTACGGTTAAAGAAAATTTATAACCGTAACCATTGGTTAATAAACCGTAATCGTGGTCATGCATATTCCTGACTCCTCAATGTTTAAATTTATTTTAGGGATTTGCTGAGTGTTTTAAATGGACATTGAATGAATTTCTCCCAGGTACACGTGGTAGTCAGATAAGTGCTGGCGTGTCAAGCAGATGGAGAGAGATAGTCTTCTTTCTTTTTCTTTTTTTGTCAACAGCTTAAATAAAATAAATGCTCAAAAGAGCTATTCCTGGGTGTTGGTGTCGGATCCCGCACCAGAAGTACGAGACCAACCAAAGATTGCCACGTAATCGAGATAATGGCCCATAAAGGATGAAGCCCATCGGATCCATGAGCCGAAGGAACGGTCGAAGTGGTTGTCACCACTTCGAAAGTCCGAAGTGACTGCATTGTGACATGAGTTCGATGTAGAAGACACGGGTAAGACGGTTCAAGGACGCTTGGGCCGAAAAGACGAGGCCCACGAAGATCAGAGTCAACTTAAATTCAAACGTTGAGCATTAAAGTCAAGAAATCAAAACGGACACATTTAAGAAGGAATAATTGTACTTAATTATTCATTTTAATGTCGTTTCTCTAAGTATAAATATAAAGGCCAATGGCCATGTAAAGGGGATCTTCCTCAAAAGAAAGAAATATTATAGCAATTTTTGTAGCAATTTAGAGGTTTTTTACTTATTCATTTTTGTCCCTCAAGAATAATCTTTCCTACTTAACAAAATACTTGAGTGTGTGAATCCGACATCCACATTTTGGCGCCGTCTGTGGGGAAGTTAGGTTCTTGAGTGGTCAGATTTTTTCTTTATCACACTTCCGAGATAAGCAACAATGTCCGGAGGAGACGCCGTTGAGACATCATTGGCCGAAACCCTCAAAGCTATGCAGCAAACCATGTCGGACATATCACAAAAGTTCTCGGATGTGGAAAAGGCCGTCACTACAAAAAAACTGTACATTCATAGCAGCTAATAATAGCACGATTTTCACATTTGCTATCTAAGATGAGTTTGTAATTTGCTTACCATATGATAGCATTTGATAAACGCTATAATAGAGTTTCAATAAGCGGGAAGTAAAATCACTTATACCGCCAAACACTTAGCCAAATTTACTAAAACGCAAAAACTTTCTTCTTCTCTTAACACTTTGTCGCGACTCTCTTCTTCTCTTAACACTTAGAGAGACGAAACCCTTAAACCTTCAAATCTCCAAATCTATCGCCGGCCATCGCCAATTCCGGCGGAATCTCTCGCCGTCGCCGCTTTCTGAAACACCGCCGGATCTAATCTCAGAAGAGCTGATCCAATTGAAGGTGATTTTATCCGACTCTCTCTCTCTTTCACTTTACCCAGTTGTCGAAACCCTTAAATCTTCAATTGGAGCTGAAATCTGTTTATGTGTTTCGATTTCCTGATGAAATTGGAACAATAAACGGGTTTTTTTATGACATGCAAGAGATTTGTTTATGTGTTTATGTGTTTGCTCAAACATGTTTAGCTCAAGTCTGTTTATGTGTTTATGTGTTTGCTCAGATCTGTTTATGTGTTTTGATTTGGTCATTATAAGTCTCTACGATTTCGTTTTAGCTTAGTATGTTAACATTTGCAATGAAAGAACAAAATTTTGGTTATGTATCTGATTTTAGAACATTTGTTTAAGATCCATTCAAACAAGCATTGCTGTTTCTTGTTCTTTTTTGTCAGAAAGAACTTGCTTTACTTCCCTTATTTCCTTCTCCAGTTGTTCAATCTGTATAATTTAAGGTTTACTTTTTAGTTTAGTCGAAATACACATTCTTGGTCAGTATTAAGAGATACAAGAGTGATTGAAAATTGTTTTCTTTTGAGGCCAGACTCTGGTTGATTGACATACCAAATCCAATTGAGTTTCTTGTTAAAAAGCTCGTAAAACACGCTATGAGTCTGTTTGAGATATGAGTTTTATTTTCTGTATCCGAGCAAAGCTTCTCCACCATTTTACATATAGGTTGTGTATATAAGTTAAGAACATGTTTTGATGATTATAGTTTGGTTGTGTATCTTGGATATTTCATTACTTTGGTTTTGTATATGAAAGTTTGAATATATATATATCGTTTTTATATGAGATCAAACAGTAATATCTTATACTCTTTCTCTACTTATGTTTTGCAGGTGTTGATCAGTGCAATAAAGGAATTTTGAAGCTGTTCTTTATCTCCAATCACAGTACAGGTTAAGAGCTTCTATCTTTGTCTCTTATGATGATTATTTGTATTGCAGTTTCATTACTCTGAATATATAACTCGTTTTTATGACTTTTAAAACTTAAACTCTTTCTCTAATTATGTTTTGCAAGTGTTGCTGAGTGCACTAAAGGAATTTTGAAGGTTTTCTTTATCTCTAATCACAGGACAGGTTAATAGCTTCTTTCTTTGTCTCTTATGATGAGTCTTTGTACTGCAGTTTCATTACTTTGACTATATAAATCGTTTTTAATGACTTTTAAAACTTAAACTCATTCTCTAATTATGTTTTGCAAGTGTTGCTGAGTGCACTAAAGGAATTTTGAAGGTTTTCTTTATCTCTAATCACATGACAGGTTAATAGCTTCTTTCTTTGTCTTTTATGATGAGTCTTTGTACTGCAGTTTCATTACTTTGACTATATAAATCGTTTTAAGATCAAACTGTAATATGACTTTTAAAACTTATACTCTTTCTCCAATTATGTTTTGCAAGTGTTGCTGAGTGCATTGATGGAAGTTTAAAGATTTTATTTATCTCCATTGACAGGACAGGTTAGTAGCTTCTTTCTTTTTGTCTCTTTTGTTTGTTTATTTTTGTCTGGTTGGTTTGTTGTTAATGCTGTTAGGTTGTTTCAAACATACTGTTTTGTTTTGAGTTTGTTTATATTGTTTTAATATATGTGATATGGTTGTTTCTCTCTAGCTCTAAAAGAACGTAGGTATATTTGTGTCTGAATTGTTTTAAAGTACAAAGTTATTTTTTGATGTGTCTGATTTTTTCAATAACTCTGTTCTTATATGATGTTAAGGATACTAAAGGTTTTAAATTAAGCTTATATCATATAATGCTGGACAAAGATTGGGTGCATCTTTGCAGGTATTAAATTTAATTATATAGATGTTAAGTTTTCAATAGGGGTTTGTAGATTTTTTTTATTTCTTTCTTTTTTATTTTTTTTCTCTTCATTCTTAAATGAAGAGCTGATCCAGCTTATCAAAGAGGGGCTTCAGATTTTGTAAGAGTTGTGTCTGCGGCTTTGGTAGATGGTGATATGATTGTATGTCCTTGCATCGACTGTCGTAATATAGATCGTCACATAGGAAGTGTTGTAGTTGACCATCTTGTTAGAAGAGGTATGGATGAGGATTATAAGCGGCGGTCTGATTGGTATCATCATGGAGAGTTAAATTCTGGGGTTGAAGGTGACAGTAAATTCAGTCAAATGGATGAGATATATGGGTTATATCAAGCTGCTGAGTTCATGGATGACGACTTTGTTGGAGATGATGAACCTGATGAGACCGCAGATTATGAGAACAAGAAAGAAGATGACTTCTTTGCAAAGCTTGCAGATGCTGCATCACCCTTATATCCAAGTTGTGTGAATCACAGTAAACTCTCGGCAATTGTGTCCCTATTCAGACTTAAGACACAAAATGGGTGGTCTGACAAGAGTTTCAATGATCTTTTGGAGACACTATCGGGGATGCTACCGGAGGACAATGTGCTACATACATCACTATATGATGTGAAGAAATTTTTTAAGTCATTTGATATGGGCTACCAGAAGATTGATGCTTGTGTTAATGATTGCTGCTTATTCAGAAAGAAGTACAAGGATCTCGAGAATTGTCCTAAATGCAAAGCTTCTAGATGGAAGACGAACACGGTTAATGGTGAAGTAAAGAAAGGTGTTCCACAGAAAGTGTTACGCTACTTTCCAATAATCCCACGGCTGAAAAGAATGTTTAGATTTGAGGAGATGGCTAAGGACTTGAGGTGGCATCATAGTAACGAGAGCAACGATGGAAAACTCCGCCACCCTGTGGATTCAGTAACATGGGCTCAGATGAATGCGAAATATCCTTCCTTTGCAGCTGAAGAAAGAAATGTGCGGCTTGGTCTTTCAACGGATGGATTTAATCCATTCGACATGAAGAACAACAACTATAGTTGCTGGCCTGTTTTGCTAGTAAACTATAATTTGCCACCAGACTTATGCATGAAGAAGGAGAACATCATGCTTACATTGTTGATACCTGGACCACAACAGCCTGGTAACAGCATTGATGTATACTTAGAGCCGCTCATAGATGATCTAATTCATCTGTGGAACAATGGAGAGACGACATATGATGCATTTAGTAAATCAACTTTTAATCTTAAGGCAATGCTGCTTTGGACGATTAGTGACTTCCCGGCTTATGGGAATCTTGCAGGCTGCAAAGTAAAGGGTCAGATGGCATGTCCATTATGTGGCAAAATTACAGACAGTTTGTGGTTGAAGTTCAGCCGAAAACATGTGTATATGTGCCATCGGAAGAGACTGCCAGCAACGCATAGTTTCAGATTAAAGAAGTCATGGTTTGATGGAAAAACTGAACCAGGGATAAAGGGAAGAATATTGACTGGAAAAGAAATTTCTCAAAACCTGAAAAATTTCAAAAATGATTTTGGAAATCTGAAACGATCTGGACGCAAGAGAAAAAAGACTGAGTCTAATGGTATGGAGTCTGATGACGAGGAGTTATCAAGTGAGTCGGAAGATGATGAAGAAGATGAAGTAAATGTAGATGAGGATGAGTTATCAAGATGGAAGAAAAGGTCTATATTTTTCAAGTTACCGTATTGGGAGGTATGTTTAAACTTCGATATTATTTAATTTTCAAATTTTATTCATTAAACTTTGTTTAACGTTAGAGTTAATTATTGTATTTGTTCTATGTAGTTTATAGGATCTTCCTGTGAGGCATAACTTAGATGTTATGCATGTAGAAAGGAATGTGGCTGCAAGTATTCTTTCTACTGTGTTACATTGTAAGAAATCAAAGGATGGTCTAAATGCCCGTAAAGATCTGGAGTATCTTGGTATTAGAAAGGATTTGCACCCTAGGATTCAAGGGAAAAGAACATATCTACCTGCAGCTCCTTGGTCTCTATCGAAGAAAGAGAAAAAATTTTTATGTAGTCGTCTTGTTGATTTCAAAGGACCAGATGGATACTGCTCAAACATAGCAAGAGGCGTATCTGTAGATGAATGTAAAGTGACAGGTCTGAAATCACATGACTACCACGTATTAATGCAACAACTCCTTCCAGTTGCACTTAAAGGTTTGTTACCTAAAGGTCCTAGGCTAGCAATTGTACGCTTATGTGCATTCTACAACCAATTGTGTCAGCGAGTAATTGATATGGAGCAGATTGTGGTAATGGAAGCTGAGGTTGTTGAAACGATATGCATGTTTGAAAGATTTTTTCCGCCAAGTTTCTTTGATATCATGGTTCACTTGACGGTTCATCTTGGAAGGGAAGCTCGGTTAGGTGGACCAGTCCAGTTTAGATGGATGTACCCTTTTGAAAGGTATATGAAAGTTCTGAAAGACTTTGTGAGAAATCCTGCAAGACCAGAGGGGTGTATTGCTGAGTGTTATCTGGCTGAAGAATGCGTCCAGTTTTGTAGTGAATTCTTAAAGAAGTCTACAAACGTACAGGAAAAACTAGATAGAAACACTGACTATGAGAATAGTTCTATACTAGAGGGTCGTCCTATATCCGCAGCCACTTCCATAACTCTCTCAGAAATGGATAAGAAAATAGCTCATCTTGCTGTCATCCAAAATATGGCTGTCGTCGAACCTTATATCGAGTAAGTTCTATACAGTTCTTGTTCTATTATTATTTACAGTTTTATGATAAAGTATCTGATTAAGCTTCTTATTATTAATATTGTACAAGTGAGCACCTTCAGCATCTACAAGACACCAATGGAAGATGCCGACGTGATGCATCAGTTTTATGGGCTATGCATTCTGAGAATTTTGCATCTTGGTTAAAACAGCAGGCAAGTTACATCAAATCTACTATTTTCTGTTGTTATTTCATGTTTTTGTGTGTATGTGTCTGATTTGTTATATTTTATTTCTCGTAGATACCAATTGATTCAGACAGACATGGAGAAGTTTTAAAATGGTTGGCTTACGGTCCACGTTATATGGCACGGTCATATACAGGTTACATAGTGAATGGTCAACGGTTTCATACAAGTTTAGTTGATAGGAAAAATCAGAATAGTGGGGTTTTCTATGAGGCAACAGCAGTCTGTAGGGCTAGTGCGAAAGATACTTCACAAGTGGTTGATTTGGTATCTTACTACGGCAGAGTGATAGACATCATACTATTAGATTATAATGTTTTTTATGTTCCTCTCTTCCGGTGTCACTGGGCAGTAATGGGTAATGGAGCTAAGATAGAAGATGGTTTCACACTAGTTAACATGAATCATAGTCAAGTCTCTTTTTTAAAAGATCCATATATATTAGCATCGCAAGCAAAGCAGGTGTTTTACTTAAGGGAAGACGCAGAATCAAGTTGGCATGTTGTTATGCAAGTTCCTTCAAGAAGATATAATAAAGATTTGGGTGATGGAATTGCAGACATTGGACCATTACCAGCAAATGTGGACATGGATGTTCACATGGATGAATCTGAAAATGCCCGAACTGATTGTGAAGGCATATTTGTCTGAAATGGAGTCTGTTTGTCATTTACATTGTTGTTGCTTTATTTGCTATGTCTGATGACTACTTGGTAATTATTTTATTTTTAGTTGTGTTTGTTTGGCATTCACATTCTTGTTTTATTTGCTACGTCTGTTGACTGCTTGGTAATTGTTTGATTTGTATTTGTGTTTCCATTTGCTATATATCTGATGACAGCTGCTTCGTAATTGTTTAATTAACCCTATTGTCTTTCATTTATTTCAGGTGAGTTGACATGGGACCAAAGAAAGTAACAAACCGTGGAGGGAGAAAAAAGAAGAAACATTCTGAAGAGCCAGAATTCTTGGGTACAATAAACCCGCCACAACCTGATCATAACTTACAACACAACCAGCGTCTAGAAGGAGTTCAGCCTTTAGAAGAGCAGGATCAGCATCCTTCAGAAGAGCAGCCTGTAGAAGCTCAGCCTTTAGAAGAGCAGGATCAGCATCCTTCAGAAGAGCAGCCTGTAGAAGCTCAGCCTTCAGAAGAGCAGGCTCAGCATCCTTTAGAAGAGCAGCCTGTAGAAGATCAGCCAGGAGTTAATGATGGGACTGACGAGCACGATCATGTAGCTAAACCTACAGGTAAGAGAAAGCGAGGACCAACAAGATTGAGAGACATCGCCAGGAATCCAAATAGCAGATTAAAGGTTAACTTCACTTTCATGGGAGAACATTATGGTCATGGGTCTGTTAAGTTGTCAACGTATCTTGGTATAATTGTGCGAGAACACGTTCCTGTATCCATTGAAAGTTGGCCAAAAGTCCCTCAGGATATGAAGACAATGCTCTGGATGTCTGTCAAGGTAAACTTTTCTGTAATTTGACATCTACTTACTTAATCTTTCCAGGTTGAAATGTTTTTTTCTTAAAACCTTGATTGATTGCAGTCAAGGTTTGAAGTAGAAGAAGATTACCAAAAGAAAGCATTGATTGAACAGATGGGAAATTTGTGGAGGTCACACAAGTCACGAGTGGTTAGGGAAGTTAATGAAGCTACGACTTTGAAAGAAAGGATGGATCTGCGACCTAAGAATGTTACTGAAGCTGCTTGGCGTAAATTTGTCAAGCTCAAAACTAGTCCTCAGTTTAAGGTATTATTTTCTGAAGTAAGTAAGCTTTATGTTTGTTTATGAATAATATGACATATCTATAATCATGTGTTAGGTTGTGAGTGATAGCTATAAGAAAAGGAAGAGCCTACAGATTCCACACACTTGTAGTCGCAAAGGAATGGTTAGACTAGCTGAAGACTTGGTACGCCAAATGCTTTGGATTATTAATTCTCATCAGTTTAACAAGTATTTTGAATGATCTATTTTTTTTATTTGTTTAGAAAGAAGAGAGACGAGAGAAATCAGATCCTTCTGATGTGACAAGAACTGATGTGTGGGTGAGATCGCGTACTAGAAAGGATGGGACACCAGTGAATACTGATGCAGCTGAAAAAGTTGTAAGTTATAAGTTATGTACATCGTGAATTTGGTTTTCAGTATAGATTTAGATTTTTGGAATTGTTTTTGATATGTAACTAAATTTGCAGAAAAAGGCAGCTGAACTTGTTAATTCTGTTGAAACAAATGAAGGACAAGATACACTTGTCGAACTATTAGGACCTGATAATCCCGGTCGAATGAGGGCAATGGGGAGAAATATGACTAAGACGAAATTAGCTTGTTTCGAAGTTAATCACAAGTGTATGGTTGAAATGGAAAAGAAACAAATTCATCTCCAGGACAAGGTTAATGAGCTAGAAAATAAACTTGGTAAACTGCAGAACCAGGTAATGCACTTTTGTATTTTTTGTACATTAAGCTGTTGGGTTGTAACATAAATTAAAAGTTAATATTTTTTCTGGCATGTCACAGGGACAAGAAACTGAAGTTGGTGAAAACTCTAGATCTGCTGCAGGGGTAAGTGATTAATAATCCATGAAATTGATTTCTTTATAACTATAAAGTCTGACTTGTTTTTTTCTACTCTAAATCTGCATAGAGTGTTAACAAAAAAGCACAACCAAAGTGTATTTTGATTGACTGGGCTGGTGATGATGCGAATGTTGCTGAGGGACGTATTATATCTACTGATCCAGAGGATGTTGTGAATGGGACACGTTTAGGTCCTTTAGATTATAAAGTTTTGGTTGAGACTGCCACGGTACCAGAAGCATTCCTTTGGAGAAATACTATGGGAATGTCAACAATTGAAGAATCTGTTGGGCATATGATTGCATGGCCTGCCACGAAGTGTGTTAGTCTAGAACAGGGGGTTCAGGAAGAAGACATGGCACCACTAGTAAAGTTTCTAACTTGTTCATTAATTAATAAGTTTATACAGATTGTTGTTGATTTAAAATTCTGACATTGTTTTATGCGTTTAACAGGGCACAAGAGCCAATTCTTTGAACAAATGCAAACTACTTGATCTGTCTAACGATGATGTAGTTGTTGCTGAAGGCCGTTGGACCACGCAAGATCGTAAAGCTTTGGTGAATGGACTTTCACTCGGACCAAAGGCTGTAAAAGTGTTTGTTGATGTGGTACATGAAGCCAATACATTCATATGGAGGCCTACAATGGATGTTACATACATAGAAGACTGTTTAATGTCCTTTGTAGCAGGGCCTTTCAACAAAGTTGTCTTCGAAAACAACCCAGATGGAACAGGCCGGTTATCTCCTATTCAGAATTATGCATCTACTCAAACAGCTCATGGAAAATCAGCATCATCAAGTCAAAAATCCACAGCAACAGGTTCTAAATCGCAACCAGCTCATGGAAGATCAGCATCAGCAAGTAAAAAATCCGCAGCAACAGGTTCTAAGTCGCATATGCAACCAATCTCAGCATCATGTGAGAAGTCTCCAACAACAGTTCCAAAAGCTAATGCAGTGGAAACTCAAACAGCTGCACCGTCCCGGCCTCTTCGAAGATCTCCGGTAACTTATTTTATATGTTCTAAAGTTGATTATGGTTCTGTCTCATTTTACTGTAGTAATTGGTTAATATGGTCAACTTGTCAGCGGAAAAAAGGAGCTATACAGGAAAATCAGAAGTGTATGTTACTGGATATTAAAGAAAGGAAGCAAGTTGTTGCTGAAGGACGGGTGATTTCAACTGATCCAGAGAGACGTGTACACTGTGCTCCTTTGGGTCTTAATGCTGCGCAAGTTTTGGTAGATATAGTCCAGGTAGATGATGCAGCGGTTTGGAGGACATCATATGAGATTGAGTATATGAAAGATGCACTTGGTTCATTTATCGCATGGCCAACTGATAACTTGGTCATGTATTGACTATCGTCCAACTGAGGTAAGTATTTTTTATTTTGATAATTGTGTTTTTGGTTTTTCAGGTGCAAAACTAATATAAGACAATGTCCATTATTAATTGCAGGGGATGAAGCAACTTTGGTCCAGCTAGCTTAATTTAGGTTAAGACTAGTCTTTATGTATTTTGGATTCAGAATGTTTAATGTTTGGTATGTTGGATTTGGAATTGTTTTTGGTATGTTGGATTCGGAATTGTGTTTGGCATGATGCGGAAGTGTTTTAAGTATGTTGGAATGTTTTTGAGATGTTATAAATGGTTTCATTTTAAACTTACAGGTTATATATATATATATATATAAGTATATATTACATATGATAGCATGTTATATTTTTAAAGATGGCACTATGAAAACATGAATTAACGCAACAAATATTTGCTATTGTATAGTGATCTATTATAGCACCCAATTTGAATTATCAAAAAAAATTGAAAAAATTCATAAATTGCTATGAACCACTAAATAATGGCAATAAATTATTGCTATAAAAACGTAAATAATAACACTAACAAAGTGCTATTGTATATGAACATACTATAGCAGACAAAATTAATGTATCGTAGGTGGGACATCTACCATAGCTGCCGAGATCATAGCAGTTGTTATTTCGCTATGTATTACCTATGATAGCATTTTTTCCGCGCTAAGAATGTAAATTTTTCTTGTAGTGCGTCGATACGTTGCAAACATCCCAGGTATCTCTTAGTCAAAACGTCAATACTATACAAACTCGTGTTCGCTCTTTAAGTGCAGGAAACCCGGTGGGAATCCGAAGAGGGATATTCAACTCGCCAAGTTCCGCTGCACGAAATGAAACCAGCGGGCAAACAACCCCCGGTGCTACTAATAATGCAGCTCAGACGTTGGAGGAAGAGACGTAGCTAGGGGATGAAGAACAACTTGCAGCTCAGTATGAGCAGGAGAATCTCGACCAGTTCGAGACCATGAGGAAGGTTAGCCAGAAATTAAAAGAAATGAAATCAAAATTTCATCAAGCTACAAGTTCAGAGCCAGATATCAATCGAGTCATTGAAGAAGCTAGGCGAACACCTTTCATCTCGCGAATTGCGAGTTTGAGGATCAAAGATTCCCGGAAACTCAAATTGGACCCTTACAGCGGATTGGAGGATCCAAAAAGCTATCTCGCAGCTTTTCTGATCGCTGCAGGAAGAGTCGAATTGGATGAAGCTGATGAGGACGCAGGCTATTGCAAGCTGTTTTCGGAGAATCTATGTGGCCAAGCTCTAATGTGGTTCACCCAATTAGAGCCGGGTTCGATCAGCAATTTCGACGAACTATCAGCCGTATTCTTAAAGCAATACTCCATCCTTATGGATAAAAGCGTTTCGGATGCCGATCTTTGGAACTTAACGCAAGGATCTAATGAATCACTTCGAGTTTTCATCATCAAATTCAAAGGAGTGCTGTCAAAACTCCCAAGAATCTCACAGCAATCAGCTTTATCTGCCTTACGAAAAGGATTGCGACATGATTCAAGGTTTAAAGAAGACTTAATACTTCATAAACCAGACACAATTCAGGATGCACTCTTCCGCGTGAACAACTGGATGGAGGTAGAGGACGAAAAAGAAAGTTTTGCCAAAAGGAATAAACAAGAAAAGTCGGCAATCACCGTCCCTACCAGGAAGTTCGAGCCTAGGGAGAGCAAGGGACCAAAGAAGTTTGGGTCGCAACCCTTCAACAATACCGTCGGGAAGCAATTCCAAGGGAAAGGAAGATCAAACACTTGGGTCCGTGATGAAAGTCTATATTGCGATATTCATAAAGTAACCGGACATTTAACCAAGGATTGCAGCGTTCTTAAAAAGCACCTCGCAGAGCTTTGGGCTAGCGGCGATCTTTCTAAATTCGATATAAAAGATTTTGTGAAGGAATACCACGAAGCAAAGGAAAACTCCAAAGATCAAGATTCCAAAAGACCAAGGTTATCCAACGAGGAAGAACCAAGAAGATCGAAGGGTAAGATCAATGTGATTCTAGGAGGTTCCAGATTTTGCGGAGATTCAATAAGTTCCATCAAAAAGCATAGACGAAATGTCTTACTCAAAGCAAGCTTGAGCGAAGAAATTGATTTTCAAGGTGCCTCAATATCATTTAACGAAGAAGAAACGCGGCATCTCGAAAGACCGCATGATGATGCTCTAGTCATTACTCTTGATGTCGCCAACTTCGAAGTATCAAGGATCCTTATAGATACAGGCAGTTCGGTCGACTTGATCTTTTTAAGTACTCTAGAAAAAATGGGAATCAGCGGAGGAGACATAGTAGGACCCCCATCTCCGTTAGTTGCGTTCACAAGCGAGTCAGCCATGTCTCTCGGAACAATCAAGCTACCGGTCCTTGCCAAGAAGGTATCGAAGATCGTGGACTTCGTTGTCTTCGATAAGCCCGCAGCTTACAACATTATCCTCGGGACTCCCTGGATTTATCGAATGAAAGCAGTCCCCTCTACATATCATCAATGTATCAAATTTCCAACATCAAATGGGGTGGAAACAATTCGGGGAGATCAAGAAGCTTCACGGACGTGTTACTTAGCTAGCCACCGTTTGAAGATCCAATAGCAATTAACAAAGCCCGCAAAAGAAGGACTAAGGCAGAAATTTCCTAGTGGGCAGGAAAAAGAGGATGTGGTAGTCGAAGTGGTATTGGAAGAAAACAAACCAGATCGGAAAATTCGAATTGGAGCAACTTTGACTGGCCAAATAAAAGAAGCTTTGATCGAACTCTTAAGGAAAAACAAAGCATCATTTGCATGGTCAGCAGCGGACATGCCTGGCATAAATCCGAGTGTAATTTGTCATGAACTAAACGTGGATCCAAGCTTCAAACCGGTGAAACAAAAAAGAAGAAAGCTTGGAGTGGAGCGGGCAAAAATAGTAAATGATGAAGTGGATAAACTTTTGAAAATAGGGTCCATACGAGAAGTGCAATATCCGGAATGGGTAGCAAACACTGTCGTTGTCAAGAAAAAGAATGGGAAAGATAGGGTTTGCATCGATTTTACAGACTTGAATAAAGCATGTCCCAAAGATAGTTTCCCGCTCCCGCATATAGATCGACTTGTGGAGTCCACCGCTGGAAATGAGCTGTTAACGTTCATGGACGCCTTCTCGGGTTATAATCAGATAATGATGAACCCCGAAGATCAAGAAAAGACGTCATTTATCTTAGATAGAGGTATCTACTGTGACAAGGTAATGCCTTTTGGTTTGAAAAATGCAGGAGCAACTTACCAACGGTTGGTGAACAAAATGTTTCACAATCACCTCGGGAAGACTATGGAAGTCTACATAGATGATATGTTGGTTAAATCGTTGAAGAAAGAAGATCATGTTAAACATTTGGAGGAATGTTTTGATACTCTCAATAAATATCAAATGAAGCTGAACCCGGCGAAGTGCACATTTGGAGTGCCATCCGGAGAATTTCTTGGCTATATCGTGACAGAAAGAGGGATTGAAGCCAATCCAAATCAAATTAACGCCTTTCTAAACATGCCATCTCCAAGAAACTTCAAAGAAGTACAACGGTTGACTGGGCGGATTGCGGCTTTGAATCGTTTTATTTCGAGGTCAACAGATAAGTCGTTGCCTTTCTACCAAATTCTAAAAGGGAACAAAGGATTCCTTTGGGATGAGAAGTGTGAAGAAGCTTTTGGGAAGCTTAAGGCATACTTAACCACTCCGCCTATACTGTCCAAACCGGAAGTGGACGAAAAACTTTATTTGTACGTATCAGTTTCAAACCACGCGGTTAGTGGAGTCTTGGTTCGGGAAGACCGTGGAGAGCAGAAGCCAATTTACTACGTGAGCAAGTCAATAACGGATCCGGAAACCAGATACACAATGATGGAAAAACTCGCACTCGCAGTGGTGATATCGGCTCGAAAGCTACGCCCGTACTTTCAATCCCATCCGGTTGAGGTATTAACCAACCAGCCACTCCGAACAATACTTCATAGTCCAAGCCAGTCCGGACGATTGGCGAAATGGGCGGTGGAATTAAGCGAGTACGACATAGAGTTCAAAAGCCGGATCAGTATGAAGGCTCAGGTCTTAGCAGATTTCCTGACCGAACTACCAATACCTAGAACGATAGAACAACCGGAGAACCAAACTTGGAAATTACACATAGATGGGTCTTCAACAAAACAAGGATCCGGAGTGGGAATCAAGTTGGAGTCTCCAACGTCAGAAATTCTAGAACAATCATTCCGGTTGCTATTCAATGCCTCCAACAACGAGGCAGAATACGAAGCCCTGATTGCCGGACTTCGATTAGCACAAGGAGTTGGAGCTAAGGAAATATTGGCTTATTGCGATTCACAATTAGTAGTTAACCAATTTAATGGAGACTATGAAACCAAAGATTCGAGAATGGAAGCGTACCTCGAAGTGGTAAAGGATTTATCTAAAAATTTCTCGAAATTTGAATTAATCCGCATACCTCGAGGAGAGAATACAACTGCAGACGCGCTCGCCGCATTGGCGTCAACATCAGATCCTGAGTTGAAAAGAGTTATTCCAGTGGAATGCATTTCGGAGCGAAGCATTCAAGACAACAAAGAAACCCTCGTCATTACAAGATCTCGAGCGGCGGCACACGACCGTGGCGAACCAGAGATCGAACCACCACCCAACAAACGGAGGAAGTCAAGAGGATCAAATACGTCTAACAAGGAACCCTTTGTCTTAGCTGAAGATGTGAGTTCAGAAACAGTATTAGAAACCGAATCGTTAATCGAGGAGGGTGCTCTCGAACCAAACGAACATCCCGAGCCAGAGCCACGAGTATTTCACAAGGTTGACCAAATTCCGGCTAAAGACTGGGGGGCTGACTAGAGGGAGCCAATAAAGCACTACATCATGACAGGGGAGCTCCCAAAGAATAAATGGCAGGCCAGGAAAATGAAAGTCGTTAGCGCGAAATTTTGTCTGTCAAAGGATGCGTTATATAGACGAGGTGTCAGTGACCCTTACCTATTATGCATTTTCGGGCCCGAAGTCGAAATCGTCATGAGCGAGGTGCATGAAGGATTATGCGGGAGTCATTCATCAGGAAGAACTATGGCTTTTAAAGTTAAAAGAATGGGGTATTTTTGGCCAACTATGATCACAGATTGTGTTAAGTTCGCCCAAAGATGCAAGCGCTGTCAACTCCATGCACCATTGATCCACCA